AGGAATACAACTCTTCCCGTTGCTCAGCAATATGCGGGGACTTCAAAATGTTCTTCAAGGACTAGCAGATGACGTAATGGTTATGTCACTGGACTCCCACGTGGTCGATCGTGGTCTGAGTCCTGGACCCAGAGGCTTAAAACTCATGCCAGGCGTGTGTGTGTGTGTGTGTGTGCCCAAAATCTCAAGAGGAGAATGGAGGAGAAGGGACTGCAATATGGCCATCCCCCGGGGGGTGATTTCTTGCTTTCTGTCTCTCTGTCTCTCCAGCAAGCACATGTGCCTTATAGCAAACATCTGTCTCTCAGAAAAAATAAAGTTCTTGAAAAATGGAAAGGTATGAGTTTATTTTTAAAAAGTCTTTGAAAAAAGCTTTTGCTATAGATGCATGCACTTGCTAGAGAGAAACAGAGAGAAAGACAGAGAAAGACAGAGAAAGGGAAAGTGAGAAATCACCCCCTGTGGGGATGGCTACACCACAATCCCTTTTCCTCCACTCTCCTCTTGGGCTTTTTGGGCACACATGCACATGCTCCTGGCATGATTCTCAAGCTGCTAGGTCCGGGACTCGAACTACAAAACTGACCATGGGGAAATCTAAGCAACTTAATCTACACGCCACCTGTTGGCCTGGTATGAGTTTATTCTGATGCAAATAACAAATTTTGAAATCCATGCACAATTTTTTCATAGTACATATTTTCCAGGGACTTTCTGAAGATTCTGCTCACACCCATAGTACTTAAACAGTAGCAAGAATGAGACATTTTAGAGACCTGAGTAGGGTTAGAGATTTGAGAAACAGAAACAGAAAGAGCTGACCCGGATGGAAATGGGGACAGAGAAGCCAGAAGGAAGCTCAAGAAAGTGAAGGGGTGGCCCCTCCCTTCAATGCTGCAGGAAACTGCCAGAGTCCCGGCCTGAGCACTCTGCCTCAGGCAGGTCCCTGCATATAAAGTCATTGTGCTTTTCTGGACCACATTATCCTGTAAAATCCCGTGACCAGGCATCCACACTTGAGTGAAAGGCCCTCATCTATGGGCCGGATACTGGACTCAATCGGATCTTGAGCTCTTAGAAACAATGAAAGGGAAAAGGGCGCAGGCCTTGGTGTGACACGGCTGGCAACCTGAAGGAGCCAAACTCACTAAGTCTAGCCAGAGCTTCAGGTCCCTGACCTCGTAGACCCTTGCCTCATTCTGAGCACTCCTGAGTTCCTGGCCCTTCTCGGGAACAGGGGCCCTGCTTTGAGGCACTGACGGGGTATAAGTAACTACTAAGTGCCAGGTGTACATGGGTAGGGGGAACTCGTCCTCACCCTCAGTGACTATGTGGGCAGTGTAGGACTGCCTCAGTACCAGCTTCAACATGTGTCACCATGCCTACCACGTCTTCACTGTCCAGCTGCCTATGTTATGGATGACCACAGGGCCAGACCAGCCACTGTCCTGGGCTGCCTCACCTCAGTGCTGCAGCTGCAGAACCCATGGGGTCAGACTGGCCATCAGTGCTATCACGGCCCAGAATGACCATGGCCCTAGCCAGGCCACAGCGCCAGGTCAGCCCTGGGTTAGGTCAGGCTGCTCACCGTGTGTTTATTGCCCAGAGGGGTCATGACACCTCAATGTCCACAGCACCCTGATGTTGCACCAGCTGTGCCTGAGCCTCGGCTCCCCACGTTCCTGTCCCTACCACATACCTGAGAGTTGACAGCCTGCCCCATTGGGATTCGGGAACATTCCAAGGCAAACTGTTTGACACAGAAGTAACAGCCCTAGAGGGAGGGTAAAGATGAGGTCAGGAGGGCAAGAAACAGGTGGGGGGGGCGGTGTCTGGCTCTTTCCATCAGTGCTCTCCCTGCTCACCTGGAAAGTCAGCTCCATGAGGATGATGCCCCCGGGCAGTGCCCGCTGCAGGTGATAGGTGGTGACCGCAGAGCCACTGCTCTAAGAAAGGAAAGGGGGCGTGGATTGAGTCTCTGCCCAGTGCTGTCAGTCTGGGATTAGCAACCTCAGCCCATCACTCAGGGTCACCGACTTCAGGCCTTGGGGAAGTCATTCACAGCAGTGACACTGGTGTCGAGGCATCACTGCCTTCATGGTGATATGGCGAGTTACCTTGGGGCTCCCGTCAGTCTTGGTTTTAGGGCAGGAGAAGGAGCCTCGACCTTCTGTTCCCAGGATAGCCATAGCCCGCAGTCGGCTGGTGCTGTGGCAAAGGAGGGGGACGGAGGATGAGGCAGGCCAGCAGGGTGGAGCATGCTGCTGTCAGATCCAGAATCCACTTTACATGGAATCGCCTTGCAGGAAAGGACACAGGCCACAGGGCAAGCCTTGCTCAGGGGTCACAGCGGTTGAGTGGCAGGCGAGGCCTCCAGTCCAGGTGCAAGCTGCACGGCAGGCCCTTTCTACAGCAGCTGCTGCTTGCAGGGAAGTGAGCGCAGTGCTCAGCGGGAAAGTGGAGACCAGGTCTCTTTACTAGTGAGAGGGTGAGGGTTGGGCAGGAGAGGGGAGGGGAGAGGCTTGTGCATGTCTAAGATTTAATTAGGAAAATTCAAGGAGATGCTTGATACTCTAGCTAGGTACTTTCCCCTGAGAGGGAAAAGTGGCTCTCTTGATTGGAAAGTGATGTTCCAGCATCTCAAAGACCTGCTAGTCTTCATTTAATACAGAGGCAAGGGGCGATGGAAGCAGGGAGAGTACTGTGAATGAGGACAAGACGGAGGGGTCGGTGGCACCCGCTAGTTACACCAAGGAGCTGTAAACCACCAGAACTCTTGCTAGGGGGTCAAAGCCTCCACCAAAAGAAATGTCCCATTTAATCCTCAAGGGACTCAGGAGAAAGCAGGAAGGCCTGTGGGGGAGGAGCGGGAGGGCAGAAGAGACGGGCTCACCTGCGAGCAGGCGAGGGGGGCCGCAGCGGCACCAGCACGAAGCCTATGCTCTGCAGATACTGCACGTATTGCTGCAGGAAAGCCAGGCTCAGCTCCTTCAGCCATGGCTCCTCACGGGCTCCCGGTGGAGGCATTTCCAAGGAGTCGCAGCTTGCAGGGGCCTCTCGGCTCCCAGGCCCTGACTCAGGGCGATGGCGCCGCTGTGAGAGTGAAGATTAAGGGAGGCTCTGACCACTGGAACCACCCCACTGGGGCTCGCTGGAGATCTCATGGGAGAAATCTGAGTTTGAGCCTCACCTGTCCCTCACAAGGCCCAGAGGTCTCGGGAGGCCCATGCAGCCAGGCAGCTGGGTCGAAGAGCAAGGCGGTGGCACAGTAATGCACCAGGCGGGATGACTGTTTCAGGGTCTCCAGTTCCAAAGCCTGCGGGAGCAGGGCGGTGAGCTCTGGAGCAGTGGCCGAGGGAGCGGCAGAGGATCCTTGTGGGGCATGCGGGGTGAGGTCACTCACACTGATGGGCATGCTGGCTGGGGCGGAACGCTGCTGCCAGGTTACGAACAGGTTCTCCATCTTCATCTGACGCTCCAGCTCTGGGGATTGGAGGCATCAGTGGTAGCCCCAGGAACCGTTACCCCTCCTGCCCAGGCTCCCCAGATTTCCTCTCCCCATGGTCTGGCCCAGTGCCTTCACCTCTGCGCTCTGTCATCTTGATTTCCAGAAACTGCTGTCCGTGGTAGGTGACGGGATCTGGGGGTCTGGGCACAGGACCAAGTGTGGAGCTAGGTCGGGAAGCTGTGATGTCCCTCAGGGCCTCATCGAAGGGGAAGGTATCCAGAGGAAGGGGACCCCCGCCACGAGAGGACCCACTCAGCCGGCCCTGCTCACGGCTCAGTGGGGGGCTTGCACTCCGGATGAGGGTCTCTACTTCCATGGTGGGTATCAGGAATGGGTTTGGCTCCTGAGAGAGACAGCATGACAACGGGCTCATAGCCTTTGCCCTGGGACGCCCCTACCCCAGGGCTTCCTCTCAGCTCTCTGCTCCATCTCTGCCCTCAATGTGCCCCCACTCCGATTCCCAGCTGGTGCTCCCTCTGAGCCCTGAGGAGCTGAGCCAGCAGGGAGCCAGGGTAGCAGGCACCTTCTCATCTTGCACGGGGAAGTCCAGCTGGCCGTAATGATGGAAGAGCCCGAGCTTCTGGCTGAGCAGGCAGAAGATGAGATGGGCCCGCGCGTTCTGCCACTGCACGAGGCGAACCAGTGCTCGGCCCAGTGCCGCCCCCAGGTCTGGGGCCCAGTTGTAGGTCAGTAGCTGTAGCTGGAGGTCAGGGGTCAGAGTCAGGAGAGCACAGCACCCTTCCTCCCGCCCAGTCCCTGGCCCCACATTTACCTTCTTGTCCACAACCTCCAGTAGCAAGAGCCTCTGCCGAGGAGCACTTCGCCCCGAGCTCCCGTCACCTCCAGGCTCAAAGCGCTGCACGGCTTTGGCAGCTATGGGGGAGAGGCAGATGGGGGTCGGGGCACATCTCTGTGACTCCACCCCTCCCTCTGTAGGGTCAGAGGCCACCCAGTGGTCTCTGAACCCACCCTTCCCTTGGCCTTACCTTGCTGGGTTGGTCTCCTCCACTGCAAGAAGTTCCTTCCCAGAAGCAGCAGATGCCGCTCAGCTGCTGGGCGGGGAGCTGGACCCAGCTGCCCAAGGGAGCAGGGACTGAAGGACTCTGAACCCCTGTGAGGGAGGGGCAGACAGAAAAGAGGCCATCCATAGCTCATCCCCTGGCCCAGCCTTCACCTTCCTGGCCATGCTTCCACCTCTCCTAGCTTAGCCTCTTCCCATAGCCCAGCTTTTAGGAAGTCTGGGGAAGTTCCCTGCAATCCCATGAGATCCCAAACTCACAAATGCTGCTCGAAGACACGGACACTGGTGTCTCCGGCCATTGAGGTGACCAGAGTGGTGAACTCAGAGAGGACGGACGGAAGGAGGAACCGGGACACCATGTGGGTGGAGCTTCTGGACACTGAGGCACAACCTGGAAGGCAGAGCTGTCATTGTGGGGCCATGGGACACAGTCCAGGCTAGGGGCCAAGGCACTGGGAAGGCAGCTGGGGTCTCACCGATCTGACCCATGAACTCCATCCAGCGCTGAGTTGTATGAGCAAACACAGGGTGCAGGGTACCCACCTCACCTTCTTCTAGCTGTGTTGTCCGGCGTCTAAAAACAAGGCAGGAGCGCGAGCCTCACACCCATACATGACACATGTATGTTTATTCAAACCAAAACCACACTACGACTTTATACCAGTACCCTCCAAGACACCACACACACACACACGTGCACACACAAATACCTTAGTTTCTGGGTTTCAGAATCTGGGCCTGGTGCCCGCTCGGTTCCACCAGGAGTCCGGACACTCTCAGTTTTGTGACGCCTCCGCCCTCTGTTGTCTTCTGGCCGATCCAGGACAATGTCATCAGTGGTTTTGGGGGAACCCAAATCCCCACATTCTGTTTTACTCTGGGGGCAATGCAGTGAATGAGGAGGAGCTACTGGGAAGAGGACATGGGTGGAGGATGGAGGTATGCTGGAAGGGTAATAAGATTTGAGGATTTGGAGGCCTGGGTTTAGGCCCTGGTTTCCAGGAGGCTGACTGAGCAGGCTTGGGCAGGTTACTGAACTTCCCTGACCCTACCTTCCTCACTGTTAAAACTCGACTTATCGGGACCAGCAGTTAGCGTAATGGCTATGTCGCTGGACTCCCATGTAGTCGACTGCAGTTCGCGTCCCGGACCCAGTGGCTTAAAACTCATGCCAGGCGCGTGTGTGTGCGTGCCCAAGATCCCGAGAGGAGCATGGAGGAGAAGGGATTGTGGTGTGGCCATCCCCCCTGGGGGGTGATTTCTCGCTTTCTGTCTCTCTGTCTCTCTCTGTCTGTCTGGCGAGCGCACGCGCCCTCTTCTGGCCGATCCAGGACAATGTCATCAGTGGTTTTGGGGGAACCCAAATCCCCACATTCTGTTTTACTCTGGGGGCAATGCAGTGAATGAGGAGGAGCTACTGGGAAGAGGACATGGGTGGAGGATGGAGGTATGCTGGAAGGGTAATAAGATTTGAGGATTTGGAGGCCTGGGTTTAGGCCCTGGTTTCCAGGAGGCTGACTGAGCAGGCTTGGGCAGGTTACTGAACTTCCCTGACCCTACCTTCCTCACTGTTAAAACTCGACTTATCGGGACCAGCAGTTAGCGTAATGGCTATGTCGCTGGACTCCCATGTAGTCGACTGCAGTTCGCGTCCCGGACCCAGTGGCTTAAAACTCATGCCAGGCGCGTGTGTGTGCGTGCCCAAGATCCCGAGAGGAGCATGGAGGAGAAGGGATTGTGGTGTGGCCATCCCCCCTGGGGGGTGATTTCTCGCTTTCTGTCTCTCTGTCTCTCTCTGTCTGTCTGGCGAGCGCACGCGCCCTATAGCAAAAACCTCTCAACAACAAAAAAACCACTCTACTTATCTTGCAGACCACTGTGAGAATATGACCAAAAAAAGAAAAAAAAAGTAAAGGCGCTTAGTAAAGTGAGGCACTCTCTACAACGGTGAGAACTTGCCGCCTTCCACAGGCTCTCCTCTGAAGGACAGAGCGGTTTCACATGGAAGGAGATCTGTGGCCAGGCCTGCAGGGTGGGGGCAGGGAGGAGTGTGGGAGGAGCTAGGAGGTAGAGGCAAGAGGGCAGGGGCCAACTTTCCCACACCCTCCCATTACCAGCATATCCCAGAAGCTACGCCGACCAGCTTTGCTGGGTGGAGTCGCAGGTTCCCCAGGGACAGGGGCAGCGGCAAAGGTGCTAGCTTGGCCCACAGGGCCCTTGGTTTCCAAAGACCCGCTCCTGAGACTTCCTGTGAACACCAGACATTATAGACTCCTGTCACTGAGGATCAGTCCCCTTCCAAACAGCCTAGGCCCAAATCTGGTATGAGTGACGTGCCACTAACTGTTGGTGGCTCACAGGATATATAACCGACAGAATGCAGCTATGTTTGCTAATGCAGTGTGAGCCTCTCCCTGTACCCCCTTCTCTGAGCAGGTGAACAGATGAGTGTTTTTGCCAGGGTATCGCCTGGACTGTACACAGACAAGGCGCTGGACAGCCGTAAATATACATCTCAGTGGACCTCTTCGATGCTCTTCCTGAACCCCACCTTTGCACCCTCACCTGACACACCGTCTTGCCTGGACCCCAGGGCACCTGTTAACCCACTGACCTGAGGGTGCATCCTCTGTACACAGGGAAGCCGGCAGCAGCCGCAGCTCCATGACAGCATCAGCCAGAGCCTGGCGAGCTGCTCCTCGGAGCTTCTCCTCCAGCTGTATGATGCTGATGTTCCCCTTTTCCCACACATCCAGTCGAAGCCGTGGTGCCCCATTCTGAGCTGGAGGGAGGAATGAAGTTACCTGGGTGTCCCTAGATCCCACCACCTGGCCTCCTACAGCAGTAACTGCCCTACCTGAAGAACTGTCTGGCATGACTGTGAAGCGAATGACCTGGGTCAGTTGCTCAAATTCTTCCTCTTGTAGTAAGTCTGGGGGCCCCGGAGAAGATGGGGGCCACGAGGTCAGTGAAAGGGGGGCCCCTCCTTCATCCACAAAGGCCAGAGTGATGCAGGCAACGCCTGGGTGGAAAGCCACAGAAGGCTCAGGCTGGAGACCTGCAGACCTCCCCTCATAGGAATCCCCCAGATGCAAGGCCAGGAAAGGGAAAAAGGCCCCCACCTGTCATGCCACAGGCCCACGCCCTGCACCGTACCTTTGCCCCCAGTGCCCTGTCCACCAGGCTTGTTGTATAAGTAGATGTCCAAGTCAGGGAGGCCACCCTGAGGGGGGAGTGGATGCTGTGGAGAGAAGAGCCACAGAGCAGCAAGACCCCTCAGGGATGGGTGTCCATGGTAGGGAAA